ATAACAATATCCTCGATTAATTCCCCATTATTAGTAATTATTAAATCTAGGATGGCATTTTTCCTAGTTGGGACCTCCACCATCTGGTCCATGAAGTTGTCTCTCAACATGTTCAGAAATCGCCCCGCCTTTGTTGAACTTGAGGTTCCGTTACCCCAATTTATATCCGGGTAATTGAAGTCGCCCATCACGACTGCATCTCCCTCGTAAAAAGTCAGTAGATTTGTCTGACAGGAACGGTCTTTCCTAAACCCATGCTGATTATCGCTAACTATACCATTATCCTGAACAAATTCTACTAAATAGTCCTTAATCATTCCCTCTAACAGTTTACAAACTACCGATGTAAGACTAACTGGTCTGTAATTCCCAGGTTGGCATCTTGCCCCGTTTGAAAATTGGAACTACCGTTGCCCTCCGCCAGTCCCTAGGAACTCTACCCGTCATTAGTGAGTCCTTAAAAATGATGAATAATGGTCTTGTTATAACCGCGCTTAGTTCCCTAAGTATCTTGGGGTGCAGATTATCCGGTCCCACTGCTTTATTCACATTAAGTAGACTAAGCCTTTGTTGTATCCCGGGTTCTTTCAGCCACTTGGCTATATTCTGTGATGAACTAAGTGTTTTATCGTAGGCGTCAAACCCGTTTCCCTCCTGAGTGTATACTGAGGAGAAAAAAGAGTTCAGTACTTCGGCCCTCTCCTTGTCATTTGTGACTAACTTCCCTCTTTCATCCTTTATTGGGCCTATCTTTCTCACCTTTTTACTGTTTATATATTGATACAAATTTATTTTATTTTTTTACTATCTATGGCAATATGTCTTTCGCACTCTATTTTAGCCGCCCGTATTGCTAGTTTGCATTTTTTATTGCTTTCTTTGTTATCCCTCTTTATTATTAGAATTTATTTTAAGGTTTTTGTAACTTAAATTTAATATTTTTAAGCCCACCCCTCCCCATTATCTAGTTTAAAAGCTCCTCCAGTCTTTCTACCATTTTTCCCCCCAGGAATGCTGCGCCTCCCCTATTAAGGTGCAGCCCATCTCTGCTGTAGAGTCGATAACCGACTGAGAAGTCAGCCCAGTTCTCCAGGAAACCAAATCCCTCCTTCTGACACCAGCTCCGGAGCCACTTGTTAAGCTCCCTCAACTAGCGCTGTCTGTCCGGAGTGGCTCTTGGCACCGGTAGTATCTCTGAGAAAACTATCGTGGAGGTCCTTTCCTTCATCCTGGCTCATAGGTCTCTGAACTCCTGTTTTAGGACACTCCAATTTCCTCCTATTTTGTCATTGGTGCCGATGTGCACCATGACAACGGGGTCGTGCCTAACCCCATCCAGTAATCTCTCAATTCGTTCCGCAATGTGTCGAACACGCGCCCCCGGTAAGCAGCACACTGTTCGACGCTCACGGTTCCAACGCTCACAATTGGCGGAGGTAGGAAGTTATACTTGTGAAGTAGGTTGGTGTCCCTGGATAACTACAATGATGTACAGCCAGTTTTATTATAAAGTATTTCAAGAATTACAAGTTTCTAAGCTTTATCACTTAAAGTTTAGTCTTATTTTACAAATAAAAATAAACATTAATACAGAGTCTATCCATGATCTGTTTGAAAGGCATGCTGGGATTTTTAATAAAGCACTCACTACCTGCATACTTTTTGGAAACCTGTGAATAAAACCCAGGTGGTCCAGAGACAGAAGGAGTGTTTTCCCTCCTATGAACTGAGTGTAATCTAATCTCTCCTAATATACTTTCTAGCTGTAGAAGGATCCTTTAGAAAGCTGTTGGGTTACACGGGGATTGCCACATTCTGAATTAAAGTAGTAAATATGAGATTCAAATGTATATATCTTTGTAAATCTCTAATCTTCCTGTAAAATCAAGTTTGGTCCTTCCCTCTCCTAAGCCCCCCTTTACGAGAAAGCTGCCCATCACATGGAGGAATTCAGCCACCTTTATCTCTGGATATACAGATTAGTTGACTTTTAATATGTTATGTATTTTTTTTCTTAATATGCCAAGTATGGATTTCTCATGTTTGTGACTAGTCCACTTTAAATAAGACATTCCAGTCCATTTAGATTTAACCTGGGAACTATATGATTGATTATTGGCAGATTCATAAGGTTTTTCACAGCTTCCTGTCATACTTTTCTGCAATGTTCAACCTTCCTCAATTCGAATTTTAAAGAAGGGTGCTGGAAACTATGGAAGTCTTGCCCTAAATCAGGGGGTCTCAAAGTACAGGCCCCCAGGCCAATTCCGCCATTGTCAATTGTGGCCCACAGCCAGCTGACAAGTCAGGCATGCGTTCACAGACCGTGTACCTGACTTGCGGGAGCAGCTACATAGTCTGCATCTCTGTCAGATGCAGACCACATAGCTGCTTCTGGCTGTGCCAGTGCTCAGTTCCTTTCAGCCGTAGCTCTGACATCTTTCACTAGGTGCTGGCCAAAAGGATGGATTAGTAAGATCTGCACCAGCCAAAGGTGCAAACCTTACTAATCAACCAATGGATCATCAGGAGGGGGAGGGGGGGGGTGTATT